CAGGTGTCAACAGTGAAGTGAAATCAAGGGGCCTCTGGTGCATCATGGAAGTCAGTAAGAGTCCAGGAGATAAAATCAGAATTTCTACGTCAGGGCTGAGGAGCCTGAGGTGAGGTGAGGTGAGGCTGGAGGTGACTTGGATCATACACTGGAGCCAAGCGCCCCCTTTTCTTAGCAAGGCCTGTTTTTATTGTTAGTTGCCGACGTAGCCCCTCTGAAGCCTGTCCTCGACCGCTGTCTTTCAGAGGCATTAGCTGGCGTGTCTCTGGTGATCGCGTCTGAGCCCCGTGCTCATAGTGTTCGGATGGAAGATGGACGAGGGAACGGTGCGGAGTGGCCGCTGAGGGACGGACTAGCTGCCCCCCCGATGGCTATTTCCTGTCTCTGACTTCTCCGATTCCCTGATAACGCTTCCCCAGGCTAAGCAGCAGGCAGAGGGCAAAGCAGACGGAGCTGAGGAAAAGCAGACAGAGAGGCAGGAAGAGATCGGAGCAGGTTTCACTCAGGGCTAGCGTCAGCCAGGCAAGGACCGCAGGGACGGCTGGAAGGTGAGCAGGGCTGGTGTGTTCACTTGGAGAGCCTGGTGAGAGACGTGCTGTGCTCCTGGGAGGGCTGAGTTCCTGGCCCTGTGCACACTAGACCTTCAGCATTACCCGCTGCTGGCACGGCTGGCCGTACTGATGGAGATAGGGACTGTCCCTCGAACTGCTGCATCACAGCCTTGCTGTGAGCAGGGGCAGGGTTTTCATACTCACCGCATTGCTCCTGTTTAGCTCAGGTGGTGAGTTTTCAGCCAGGTGGATCAAATCCATGCCGAAGACCATGGCGGGGGGTCTCTCGATTTGATTTGAACAGGGCTCGATTTGGCCTAGATTAAGAGCATGGACAGACGTAACAGTTACCTTCGTGTTACTCTGAACTGGTATCCGGTGCTCTAAGATTCCTGTTACATGTGTCGGCTCCTCAGTAGAAGCAGAGCAAAACCATTGGCATGTGAGCCCCATTTCAGTTGTGCCCCTTCAGGTGCGGGCTGATGTAACAAATACTTTGGAATAGCTGATCCGAGCTCCCAGCCCCTTTTAAAACAGTTTAAAGCAACATCTGTCCACAACCAAAGGACCGTGAGGGAAATAAGTTAGATTGAGGGGGTGGACGCTAGTGTTTGACTAATTGGAGCAAGCCCAAGATGACGCCGGTCAGAGTCCCATGGGGTTGTCCGTGCCAGTTCTGTCATCATGCCTTGCCCTCCTAGTGGCCGCCTGGGTGGGCTTCACCCTTAAGAGGGGAGGGTCTGGGTCCTTGTAATCAGGGAGCTCTGTGGGTATGCGCTCACTCTCCTCCTCTCTCTCTTCTCTCAGACAGGTTCAGAGGGCAACTCAGTTGATGGAACCACAAGAGGCCAAATGGAAGAAGGGCCAGTCAACTATGTTGAAGAAAGAAGGTTGAACGAAGGCCAGCGGCTCAGCGTGGTGAATGGCGGGAGCCAGCAGGCCGGGGCAGGTGCCATGCTAATGGAAGCGAGTGGGTGGCTCGGCAGCCCACCAGTGGCCCCCACCTCCAGCGAGAAGGTCAAGTGGGAGCGGGCACCAGTGCCGGCCCCAGGCCCGGGGGACACCGGCAGCAATGCTAACCTGGAGGATGCACGGAACCTGGTGGCTTTCTCGGCGGTGGCCGAGGCCATGTCTTCCTACGGGATGCCGGCCTCAGGGTCCCCATCACTGCTGAGCATGCAACTGTACGAGAAGTTCAATTCTGAGATGAGCCGAGGAGGGGTGGGAAAGCCCACGCTGCCCCCGTCCCCCGATGGTGTCACCCGCGGCGAGGACCTGAAGGCACTCAAGGCTGCCCTGACCCTGGCCAAGCACGGCATGAAACCCCCCAACTGCAACTGCGATGGCCCCGAGTGCCCCGACTACCTGGAGTGGCTGGAGCAGAAGATCAAGTCAGCCATCGGGGACGAGCAGAGCCCACGGTCCCAGCATGTCAGTGAAGCCCACCAGCTCCCAGACCAAGGTGCTATTCTTAACCAGGTGCCTGCAACAGAGGAGGTGCTAAAGCCATGCCCTTCTGACAGCCTCCCCTTTTCCCCAAGTGCACTGAGCATCGCCAAGGAAAAGAACATTAGTCTCCAGACAGCCATTGCCATCGAGGCCCTCACCCAGCTGTCATCCACCCTCCCCCAGCCAGCCAGAGAGGTGCCGGCCACTTCCGACAGCCCCTTGCCACCTGCAGTGTTCGCCTCCAAGGACCAGCTGGTGCGGGCATCTCCCTTCTGCCCTGATGAAGCCCGGGGACTGGCCACCCCCAGCAGGGAACGGTCTCCGAGCCAAGCAGCACCCCCCTATGGAGGGCAGAAGGTGTTCCAGGCACCACTATCCCTGGCACAGCCTCCATGGCCAGCCGAGGATGCCCGCTGCCTCCTAGAGCGCAGCACCCTCCGGGAGTCTGCGGGTCTCTTCCCCACCTCCACTTCCACCCCGCCGAAGCCTGAGTTCCCTGAGCCATGGGGTGAGGAGGCGAAGACGAAGAACAGCTTGTGGGCTCTGGACTCCACCCCACCAGCCAGCGACCCCATGGCTGAGCTGGAGCAGCTGCTGGGCAACACTGACGATTACATCAAGTCGGTGTTCAAGCGGCCAGAAGTAATGCCCAACAAGGCAAAAGCCATCAAGCTGAAACAGGAGCCGCCTGACCCGGCCCTGAAGAAGGAGTCCGGGGCTGGCTACCCCAAGCCAGTCACTGGCCAGCACTTATCCCAGCTGCTGCAAGATGCGGATTTTCACAAGAAGACCCAGCTGGTGCTGCAGCAGCACCTGCATCACAAGCGTAGCCTCTTCCTCGACCAGAACCTGTCACAGCCAGGCCCACCGGAGCCGCCGCCCCACTGGTGGGCCCCTGGCTCCCCAGCCCTGGTGTCCAAGCCATCCGAGAAGCAGGCCAAAGAGAAGAAGAAGAAGGTGCAGCCAGACAAGGCACCCCAGATAAAACTATTCCGCAAGCAAGTCCAGATCAAGAAGCCCAAGCAGAAAGACTCTCAACCACTCTTCCTGCCCCTGCGGCAGATCAGCCTCGAAGGCTTCCGCGTGGCCCCTGCCCCCGAGCCCCCCGTGGAAGAGATGCAGACTGAGCCGCAGCCACCCAGCACCCCCCTCAGGCCGCTGCCTTTTGCACTACCCGTTTCTGGTGCTGCCGCTGCGCTGTCTCCGCTGCATAAGCTACTTGGCGACGGAGGAGGCCAGGCGCCTGACTCTCAGGGAAGGTGCGCTCCCGGCCATGGCAGCCCGGAGGAGAGCCATTGTCAGGGGCTGGCGGGCCAGCCTGCTCTGTCCGGTGCTCCAGTTGCCAGCTCGGCGCCCTGCTGCATGACCACCACCTCCGGTCCTGGGCCGGATGAAGCTGCCCACAAGCCCTTACCCCCAGGCGAACCCCAGAACTCCATCACGGTGGACGACAAACTGGAGGAACTGATTCGGCAATTTGAGGCAGAGTTTGGGGAGAACTTCAACCTGCAGAATCCCGAGCTCCCGGCTCCGGTGGCTGATGGGTTGCAGGCCCAGCCTCCCTGCCACACATGTTCTCAGACCCCGGAGCTGCCAGGAGGCTCTGACGCAGCCCCCCAAGTGCCAGCCACCAAGGAGGAAGCGCCGCCCCCCACCAGTGGTCCCGACCCAGGGCTAAAAAGCTTTTCCCTCTCGCCTGGGAAGGGGCAGCATTTGGAGAGCGCCTTTGCAGCGAGGTCGCCCAAGCAGATAAAAATCGAATCTTCTGGTGCTATAACCGTGGTGTCAACCACTTGCTTTTACTCTGAGGAAAGCCAAAACACGGATGCCGATGATGTGGACGGGACCCCGACCAAGGACGACGTGCCGCTCACGCCCACCCTCAGTGGATTCTTGGAGTCTCCGTTGAAGTACCTGGACACGCCAACTAAAAGCTTGCTGGACACCCCAGCAAAGAGGGCTCAGGCGGAGTTCCCCACCTGCGACTGCGTGGGTGAGTAAGACACTTTCCTTCTGTCTTCTGTGGGCTTGACGTGGCTCCGTTGGGAGAGGGATTTGAGTTGGGCATAAGGGTGGCACTCGCCCGGAGGTCTGGGAAGCTGAGGGAGACAGAGAATGGATCAAATGTTGGTGCCAAGTACCTGCTTGTCTCAGCAATGTCTGTTTCTATCTTCAGTCCCCAAAGTAAACCCTCTGAAAGCTGTGTGTATGCCAGAGGCATTAGCTGGCATGTCTCTGGTGATCTTGTCTGAGCCCCATACTCATAGCTTTCTGACATGAAAGGCTGTAGGACTGATGGCATGGTGAAACATGTGCGATGTGGTGTCTGGGATCAAAATGCCAAATGCTCTGTTTCCACGTGAAGAGCATGTTGAAGTGGGGAGCCTTCATTCCCAGCTCCTGTCCAGAAGGCAGAAGTGGCATACGTTTATTTGGAGTGCGTCAGGCTGCAGCCCCTGAACCTCCTCTTTGAGGTTCTGGCCACAGATGGCATGTTTATGCATGCCCCATCTGTGGTCCCACCAAGTCCCAGGACCTCCTGGTCAACCTCTTCCAGGCCTTGGCCCAGGTGGCCATATGCTTGACCAGGAAGGAGGCTCTGGCCAGGAGGGTCCCTGGGGACTGCAGAGCCATCTTCCTCTCCCTACTCCAATCCTGTCTCTGGGCAGAGCACCACTGGGCAGTGTCTGCTGGCTCCTAAGCTGTGTTTGAGAGACAGTCATCACTGTATGGGGGGACTCTGCTCAGTGTCCCCATCTGGTGTACTTGTTTTAGCCCTGTAACCTGCACTCCCACCCTGTTTTTACATTTTTTGTCCCCTGACATAAGTTGTACCACCCTCTAGTAGCTCCCTTCTCCAGTAGCCTCCCCATTCGGTGGAAGCTAACATGTTCTGTGGTGGACTAAGCTCACGGCCACAGAAAGGAACAAATAGGCCAGATGGCAGAAGTCAGGGTCCAGGGACCGCTGTTGTGAGGGTTTGATGGGTGACCTGGAATGCTGGGCCCCAGGATGGCTTTCTGACTGAACTGCAGCAAAAATAGTTGGACCAGTGTGAATTGAAATTGTGTGTGTGTTCATGTGTCTGTGTGTAGGCATGTGTGTCTGCATGTGCATGTGCACATGCTTTCTCTGCCCACCCCAGAACATGGTAAAGCTGTCCTGCCAGTCACCATGTGCATGGGATAGATGGGATGTTGATGCGTGTAGGATTAAGAGCTTCTGGTTTTGTTGAAAATAAGGAAAAAAAAAACCTCAGAAGGAAATTTGCTTCTATCCGGTCAGAGCTTAGAAGACAGCCTCCAGTACGTGTGCCTGTCACATTCCTCATGGGATGCTAATAAAAGCAGATCAATCATGGCAACCCCATCAAAGCCCACCAAAGTAAGCCAGCTTTTCCCCGGCCCCTGGGGCCTGATTCTCAGAAGGGCTGAGCCTCCCTGCTCTCGTTGGCTTCAGTCTGAGGTGAGAGTGCTCAGCCTGGCTCTCTGGTGCCTTTAGTTGGAGGGTTTGACCTTGGAGACACCCTCAGAGGATGTTCTGTGAAAGTTTGGGGAGTCAGGCTTGGCGGAGCCTTTTCTGGTTCAGGGCATAAACCTTCAAGCCTTTCCTGCTTGAGGGCATAAACTATGTGTCTGTCAAGATTGGTATAGCTGGCATTGAGGGGCTGGTTTTGTGTAACATAGCACTCTGGGATCTGAATTGGTGCTGGATTTGCCCTTGTGAGGAGGCCATCCTGGGCAGCCATGCAGGTTGGTTGCTTGTTTGCAGAGGGTGCCCGTGTGTTTCAACATGGTTGGACCTGGGGAGGCTTCTGCCATAGGAACAACTTTGACCAGCCCTGCAAGAGGCGGGTGGAAGTAGGTACTTAGAGGCACCTACAGAGTGCAGGGGTCCAGGAGGGGGCCAGTGGGCATGGGGGTCAGGAGCTGGGAATGATAGTTGAAGTAAGGGGTCTGGAAGATGGAATTGAGCAGAGGCTGCCACTGCAAGGAGTCTTCTGCTTAGGGACCGTGCTCTGGTGCTTGAACAGGCAAGGCACTGGGAAAAGGGCAGAAAAGTCCCTCCTCCTGCCTCCAGTCTGCCTTTCTTCTCTGCTGAAGTCCTTGTGCCCTGGACATTGCCAGAGGGAGGCGGTTGCCTGGCTGGTTCAGCCAGTGGCAGCAGGATGAACTTCCTTGGGCTGCGCTGCCATCCAGAGCTCATCACCACCAGCTGGAAGTCGCCAGAGACCTTTGGACTGGGCCTTTGCACGGGACAGTGAGCACAGGGCCTGAATGCCAGAGGTCCCCTTGGGGTGGGGGGGCCATCCTGTTTGGGAGCGCCTCTTTGGCACCTCTTCTAAACCAGGGCTTTGTTCTCTGGGCTCTTGCTTGGTGCAGCAGGTGGAAGCTGGAGCAGCGCCAGGCCTGTCTCTCCAGCCACACGAACCTGTCTTGTCCATGTGCCCATGCAGGTTGACTTCTTGGTAGCGTCTGCTACCTCCTGTCTCTCCTCCTCTGGCACTGAGGGCCTGTCTGATGTCCTGCATTTCTTTTAAACCTTCCTGCGACCCTCTGGTTTGCATTTTACATCCCAGGGATGAGTGATATTTGGGATCCTTTGGCCCCTCTCCCCTCTGAAGGGTCTGACCTTCTCTTCCTCTGGGCTTCTCCTCCTGCCTCATGGTTCATAGCCACTTTCCCCCAGCATCCAGCAAACAGAACGGGGTGGGGGGGGAAGGAATTCGGGGTTTGCTGCAAGCCACAAAAACCTGCTGGCAGAACCTCCCCCGCATTTGAGTGGGACTTGGCCGCCAGCCAGCCTCAAGTTGAACTTTATTAGCTGGGCTGATTATTAATTATTTATTTGCTTGCAAATTGCGCCCGTAATTACCCCGGACGGCACCAAGCCCCTGAAAGGGAGCTGCCAGCCTTTGTGGAGTGCGGATTGAACCAAACGCTGTTGCGCCTCTGTTGCCAGGAAAGATTTGGGTTTCTTTTTTTTTTTTTTTTAAGAGAAAAGGCGGTGAGAGAAAAACAATTAAGGAGGAGTCGGGGATCTGTGCTTTATTAGGTGTCTGTGCTGTTAGACACTGTAATAAAATCAGACTTCGCTGCATGTCACTTATTGATCTCTGTCTGGACAGCTGCAGCCCAGCTGAGATGTGCTTTCTCCTTGCGTTGGCTCCCGGCCAGGTAGACATGATGGGAATAAAAATTAGGGCTGGGAGAGGAGAAGGAAGAAAAAGCCAACTCAGCCCCAGCCCCCTGCTTATCTCAGGCACCTTCCAAGCTCCACGAGCTCCATGGAAAGCTCCCTGCCAGGAGAGCCGGTTCTTCAGGTTTCCCTTAGGCCTTCAGGCCAGCTTGGGCAGTCCAAGGAGCTGCTTCCAGCCGAGGGGCCGAGTCCCCTGCGATGGGATCTCCACGCTTCTGCAGGCCTGTCCGAGCCGTGGGTGCTTCCTCGTTCCCTGTCCCGGTGCTGTTCTTCAGTCCCACCGGGGCCAGAGCTGGCTGTGGGGAGCCCTCTTGGTTATTCCTACTGGCTTCCATTGCTGTGGTTCAGGGAACCCTTGAGCACTGTAGCCAAGCCAGGTTGTAGGGAGATCCTATGGCAACATTAATCAGCAAAAGGATGGAGAAGTTGAGAGCTTCAGGGTCCACCTGTCTCCAGCAGCTGAATCCTCTGAGAGCCCTGGCTGCAGGGTCTTGCTCCTTTGCTTGTGGTCACGCTGCTGGTCACAGAAACTTGGCCCCATCATCAGAGAGGCAGAGCCTGGGTATTTTTGCCGTCCTCTGTAGGACGACAACCCTCTTCTCTGGATCTCTTCAGTGTATTTTAACAGCCTTCTCTGTCTGTGCCGGGGTAGGAGATGGGCTGTGGCCTCATCCCTCTGCCATACCCAGGGCAAAGCTGGCTGTGTTGGAAGTTTTGGGCCTGGTAGCTGTAGGAGCAGGTTGTTTGCAAAGAGTTTCTGGGCAGGTTAGACAGACACTGGGCTGGGATGGTGTATACTGGGAGGATCCTGCCTTGAGCAGCAGGCTGGACTAGATGTGGCTGCCTGATGGCCCTGCCAGCCCAGCTCTTGCATGAGTCTGCCTCTGCTGGTTCCTGCTGCAGCAGCCAGCGAGCGGTGGCCAGGAGGCAGGAGTGGGTTCCTTGTGGGGGCCACTGAGGTTCCTGTCCCTTCCCTTGGAGGTACCAAGTCCCTGTATGACTCAGCTATGTGATAGCACAAAGCTGCAATCTCTGCTCGCTACTCCGTAGCTCTGGTTCATGGGCTTCTCTCCTCCCCCGCAGTCGTACCGTTGGCATCTAGTCTTCTGGTATTCAGGGCTCAGTCACCTCTGGGACCTACCACTAGGGCTTCAGGGCTTTTCCTTCCAGAATGTGTCGTGCTTCCCTTGGGAGCTGAACCCCTCTGCACGCTATCCTTGCTCTCTATCCTAGTCCTAGAGCTCTGGGGCTGGGGAGCTATGCACCTGCTTCTGGGCTGGTAGCCCGGAGTGCCAGTCACTTCAGACTAGTGGAAAGCGGGTGCCTGAGGGGTAGCATAGGTCTGAATGGGGGTCTGGCACTCCTAGGATCATGTCCTTGCGGGGTGTTGGCCTTGAGTGCAAGGAGCAGACACACAGACTCCCCTGCCCAAGATGCAGCAGCCTCTGGCAATCAGAAGGGGGAAGGAGATGGAAGACCCCAGTGCAGGGAGAACTGTAGATGAGTCCCCCCAGCTGCTGCAGTGAGCTGTTGCACAGATAATGAATGGCTCGGGGCCAGCTTAGGCTCTCAGTTGTGCCCCCATCAGCCTGGAATAACCCCCCCACCTTGGAGAGCAGAATCCGGCCCTTTGCCAAACCCCCCATCCCGCCGCGAGCCAAGACACGCTCCGGTCTTAGCAGCTCAGCAACAGCGTGAGGCAGCCCATCTCCCTTGGCAGCATCCGGCAGAGACAATTGCAGACAAGCGCAGCCAGCATGGAGGGGG